TTCAAGAACAATCTTCTCTGGCTCAGGGCTCTGCCCTCTAGACCCACTAGGGTGATAGTACCACCTTCACGACACATGGGGTGGCAGCCTTGCTTCTGAGACAGTTGTGTGCCTACAGTGGTTCTGTGCCTGAGTCACGAACAACGGGTTTCCCTAGAATCAATCCCTGGTGGCCTTACTGGGCTGGGGCCATGGAAGAAGCCCCTCCACTATGGCTCCACCAGCCTTGGGCCTAGTGAAGCCTCTCTGGGGTGACCCTGTATCTGCAGTGATCCTCTGCCTGCTGCATCCTGTGAATTCCGGAAGGCCACTACACCCCCGTAGCTTTGCACTGGGCTGCTGGTGGGACGTGCAGCTCTAATCTCTAAAATGCTTCTTGGGTCATTCTTCCACTGCCTTGGAGAACGGTTTATAGATGGTGACTAATCTCTTTCTGTTGATGAATAGTACTTGGCTTCCATTGAGTTAGATGATACATACTCATTATTTCATCCAAGGATTACTTGGCCACACGTTTGTTATCTACCAAATTCGCTTTCTTTCTTTTTTCTAATATGGACAGGCTGAGAATTTTCCCAATTTCTAAGTTCCACTTTCCTTTTGATCAATGTCTAATGATCTCTTTTCTGTTGTATGGCATTTTAACTATAGGCAGTCAAAAGAAACCAGCCCACCCCTCCAAAATTTTGCTTACAAATAGCTTCTGCTAAATACCCAATTTAATTGCTTTTAAGTTCTACCTTCCATAAAATACTAGGGCATGAACAAAATTCAGCCAGTATTTGCCTTTTTTGAACAAGAATGACCTTTTCTCTAGTTTCCTTCTCCTTCCCTCCTTTGGTACTGGGACTTGAATCCTGGGGTGCTTTACTACTGAGCTACCCAGTCTTGAGACACAGTCTTCCTAACTTGCTGAGTCTGGCCTCAAATTTGTAATCCTCCTGCCTCAGCCTCCTGTGTTGCTGGGATTACATGCATGCGTCAATGTATCTGGCTCTTTCTTTCCAGTTTCAAATAACATGCTCTTCATTTCCATCTGAGACTTCATGTATCCCCCTGGTCTTTAGATTCTGGTGCAGTGGTTTGCCCTATGACTCACTCCTCTGATGGATCTTAGAATGTTCACCTTTTTCCTTGTTGTTGGGAAAGAATGCTGACTTCTGATCTCCTTACGTAACCACATCAGAAACTGGAATTCCTGTGGGAAGACTTCTGATTACTGATTGAATCTCTTGTTTGTCACAGGTCTACTGTTTATTCCTTGGACAAACTAGCTAAAGGTTTGCGAATGTATCTTTTCAAGGAATCAATTCTTGGTTTGTTGATTTTTCTCTCTTGATTTTCAATTTCATTATCCTCAGTCTAACCTTTACTAACTAGGTTCTTTCCCTTTGCTGTATTGGGATTAAGTGATCTTTGATGTTTAATTGGCATTATTTTTTTTTAAATTTTTTTTATTTTTTTAGTTTTCGGAGGATACATCTTTATTTGTATATGGTGCTGAGGATCGAACTCCGGCCGCATGCATGCATGCCAGGCGAGCGCGCTACCACTTGAGCCACATCTCCAGCCCCTTAATTGGCATTATAATCTTCGCATCCCTGGTTTTTCTGTAAAATCAGTCTTAACATCCCCTTTTTTCTGATCTTAGTAATTTAGTCCTCCTTTTTCTATCCCCCCCACACCCCGCCGCCCCGCAGGAGAGAGAGAGGGGGTGTGGTCTTGGTAACCTAATCGTTTGCCATTTTTGTTCACCTTTTTCTAAAAAAAAGTTTGGTTTTGTGGAGGTTTCCCCCATTCTTTGTGCTATTGAAGTCCACTTTACTGTTTTCTTCCGACTGCTTGTTTCCTGCCTAGTTTGTTCCTACTTTTCCAGTTTCTTAAGCTAGGATGCTACGTTATTAATTCCAGCTCTCTCTTCCTAGGAAGTATGGTAGGCTGCGGTTTGGCTCATGGTAGAGGGCTTGCCTGGTGTACACAAGGCCTGGGTTCCATCCCCAGCACTGCAAATAAATAATATAGAGTACATGCCCAGGGAAATGTATTGTTTTATTTCCACATGCTTTTGAATTTTCCAAATTTATTCTTATTTCCAATTTTATTTCATTTCCATTGGAGAATATAATCCATACAATTTAATCTTCCTAAGTTAATCAAGTCTCTCGTTGTATTTAACATGTTCTGTCCTGGAAAATGTCACATGTACATTGATGTGGGTAGTGCTGTTGGGTGAAGTGTTCTTTAGAAATCCCTTGGGTTTAGCTGGTTTATAGTCCTGTTTAGACATTCTTCTTTTCTGATCTGTCCTGTGGTTTTATTTAATATTGAAAGTAGAGTATAAAATTTTTAACCATTTATTTCTCCCTTCAATTCTGGCAGTATTTACTTCAAGTATTTCAGGGTATGTTTGGTGCATGTACGTTGTTTTATTTATTTATATATATATATATATATACACACACACACACAGTTGTTATATCTTTTATAGTTAGTGAACTTACCATAGGTTGTCCTTAGTTTTTCATAACAAATTTCTGTCTTCAATTCTATTTGGTCTGATATTAGAATAGACATTCTTGTACCCTTTTGGTTACTGTTTTCATGAAATATCATTTTCCATACTTTTACTTTTGTGGGGTACCAGGGATTGAATCCAAGGGCGCTTAACCACTAAGCCACACCCAGAGCCCATTTTTTGTTTTGTTTTGAGACAGCGTCTAAGTTGCTTAGGGCTTTGCTAAGTTTCTGAGGTTGGCTTTGAACTTGTGATCCTCCTGCCTCAGCCTCTGAGCTGTTGGGATTACAGACATGAGCCACTAGGCTCAACCCATACTTACTTGTGTCTTTGAATATAAAGAGGGCACCTCCAAGTCTAGCTGGATCCTGATATGCAGCAGTTTGATAGGTAACTCTATAAAAGTTCCAGTTCAGAAATAGGCAAAAATGATCTGCACAGACAAAACCAGGGAACTCCCCAGGGGGAGGAATAGGTGCAGAGAGCACAAGGGCTTCTAGGGCTTCTAGTCTGGATGCTGACTGCAGGCTGTTGGGTATGGTGGTGAATGCCTATAAAAAAGCAGCTTAGGAGGCCCAAGCAGGGGGGACATGAGTTCAAAGCCAGCCTCAGCAACTTATTGAGATCCTGTCTCAAAATAAAATATAAAAAGGGCTGGAGATGGGGTATGTGGCTCAGTAGTTAAGCACCCCTGGGTTCGGTCCCCAGTAGCAAAAAAAAAAAAAAAAAACAACAACAACAACAAAAACCAGTCCACTAGTAAACACTATTGTTTGCAGATTCGTGTATGTGTGCAGCCCTTCACAGAAACCTTAATTCTTGGTTCCTTTCTTGAGGGTGAGACTAACAAAAGGAAAATTCCTATTGCTCTTTCCTCCCACGACCCAGGCTTCCTGCATGGGGGGTGGGGGGGCTTTTCTATGGTGAGGTGTTGCCTCTTCTTGCTTTCTAGGAAGAGGTGCTCCATGTGGGGAGACCCTTCACCCCAGGAATTGTGTTTAAGAAGACTTTTGGGAAAATGAGGTGAACTAGTAACTTCAACAATTAACACGAAGCCCCTTCTGGCTCCATTGTATGGACATGACTGAAAGGTGAGCCTATGCAGAAGCAAACCCAAGGTGGGATATCTGTCCTGGGAGGCTCTGTGAGCAGGAGGCAGCCTAAGGCCTCGTGAGGCCTGGCAGGCAGACGCCCTGTTAATTTGTGTGCTGAAGATAAAACATTCCACAAAAAGCACTCCTGGGGGGCTCAAGGAGCCTCAGAACTGCTGGCCACACTGCTGTACTCACTGCACACAAACACGAACTCCTTGTTAGGATGTGTGTACTCCCCTGGATGCCAATTACACCTTGAAAAACAGATGATTTAAAATTAGATTCTTCAAAGGACAAAGGCCCAGCTCCATGGCCTGGTGTCAAAGGCCCTGGTGATGATAATGGTATCAGCCTGAACCCATATTACCAACAAGTGTCCACCGAACACCTGCTGCATGCCAGATATCAAGGGCTTGATGACACATCAGTTACCTCACAGAAAGGAATCACGGCTAAGCAGGCAGCCTCTGGAATGGACTGTTCCCCTCCTCAGCCCTAGGACGCCACCACTGAGGCTGTCACTCCTCCCCTACAATGGGAGACCCAGAATGGGGGAAGCAGGCTCAGTGTCCACATGCTTGTGTGAATCAAATGCCCCAAGGAGCGAAAGTAGCCAGATGGCAGCAGGTGGCACACACAGGTGGGGGCTGAGGGTGCAGGCCAACCCCCTGGAAAGGTGACTGCCCACTGGGCGCTGGTGCCTCAGGCCTCCCTCCTCTTTAAGGTCTTCCTCCAGATCAGCTGAGGGGTCTGTTCAAACTTTTCCTGGGCCCACTGGAACAACAGTCTCTTCTGTTCAACCAGAAAGAATAGTTCACTGAAAACAGGTCATGGCACTGCTACTAAAGAGGGGTCCTAGAGGGAGACGAGGCCTGGGATAATCCTCTGCAGAGTGAGGTTCTCAAGAGGAAACCACAGCGTACCCTAGTATCTACATTCCCTGTAGCTAGGACACTGTTCCCTTTTCCCACACCCATGGCAATCATTCCAGTGCTCCCAGTTTACCTTTGAACATTCCCCCAGTTAAACAGGCTCTGTGTTGTTAAACAGGTAACCCTTGTTGCCTGAATCTATTCACTCCTGGTCCAGAGAGCCGGCCGGGCTTCCACATTATCCAACCACTGCTTCCACATGCAGGCTACTCGAAGTTATCATCTGTACAAATACAGTATATCCTGGTGGCCTCGGCTGGATATTTTCAGTGCCGACTGGACCCTGGGGGATGTGCCTGACTGTCTCCTCCCCACACCCCTGAGAGGATGGACCCCCATGTTTTTTCCAGTTCCCAGAACCAGGGTTACCCGATAGGCTGGCGGGCTTTGAGGTGCTGACCTGTGTGCTGCTGGAACCAGTCACTCAGAACAGGGGTCAAAGCAACCACAGACGGTGAGCGATGTGCTTCATCTTTTTATTATTCTTTATTTATTGGTCCTACCAACGTGACTCTTTACCCAGGCCCGCGGTTCCTATGCATGCTGGCTTTGTAGACATTTGTGTCACATGTCTGTGTCCAGAGAGTTTCAATTAATTTCTCCTTCCTATTCCTTTTCCATGCTCTGCCTCATTTTCTCAGAAATTGAAGGCATTTGCTTATTATTATTTGTTTGTTTGGGTCTGTGTAAAGGTTCCTTGGCAGGAAGACATGCATATGACTTTAAAATAAAGACCAACATTCTGACACTAAGGTAATGCACAGAAAAAATACAGTACTTAGACATCATTGCAAATAAATACCCCATACAGATGAAGTTATCTCAAATGTAACAATATTTCTTATGAATCAACACTGTAACAGAAGGTAAAAATAGGAGTCCCAACAACTAGGAATAAGAAATGCTCATTCCAGGAAACAGAATTCTTTGATTCTTGCAATTTATATTATTACAATTTGTCCCTTTTTTTGGAGGATGGAGGACAGCTTCTCTTCCTCCAATAGTACCAATCTGACCACACCCGTGAACCTCACTCAGCAAACAGAACAGGATGCAGACCTGGTTTGCTAAGGAGCTTTAATGAGTTCTGTTTCCTGAAATTAACAGTGATTAGTTACACCAAGCAAGAGAAGATATAATGTCTTGTTTTCACATTTGCAAAGAATACTATGGTTAACCCTCGTCCCCCACTCACGTGCCGACTACGCCGGCTCTCTCAACGCCCTCAGCTCTTCACAAACGTGGTGTTCGTACAGCTTGCTTAGCTTGTCCCATAAAGTCCATTTGGTTCCCAAAACACACTCAAGGTTTTGTGGTTTTGTTTTCTAAGCCCCTGAATTTGCAAGTAAAGAATCACTGACTAACAGAATTTTGTACAATCACTGTTTTCTCTCCCTCAATGAAGATGCCCAGGTACAGGTGTGAGGTGAGTGCCGCTCCCACCTGTTGGTCCACACTGGCCTTCAGCATTCCCAATTAGCTCTTCACTGCACATTGTAGAGAATCAACTTCGCTGGGACACCTCCCTTAACTGATGAAGGCACTACTGGCAATGATTACTAACAAAAAGGCGTTGAAATAGAACACCCAAAAAATCGACAACTGTAGAATTTTCTAAGTGTACCACAATTTGGCACAACAACCAGAGTAACAAAACAATTCCAATTTGGAATTTCACTGGTACAGTTGCATAAAATTCTGTTAATCAGTCATGCTTCACAATGTCCTAAAACCCAGACAACTCTGGAATTTGTAGGTAATACTACTCATTCAATAATTTATCTTTTTTTTCAAGTGCCTATTACTGTTTTAACCAGAGCAAAGGTCAAGTTTTCTTCTTGTTACATTGAACTATTCCTAAGAATAATAATAATACAATATGAAAAACCCCAGAATCGAAATACCCTGGATTTCTTAATGAACATGGCATTTAAAATCTGTAATTTCAAACATGAGCCATAACGCCGTAAAACCTAAAAGGCTGAACCACAGCGTGGATACACGAGCTGAGCTCCTTGCTGGGTTGAAGCCTCCTTTCCAGTCTAGAGCTACACACTACGGAGCACACAGCTCTGTCTCGTGCTGACACCAGATCAACACGCCAGGAGCTAAGACGGACAGCTACAGGACCACGACCACAGACCACGGCATCTGAGACTGTCTACGCGAGGAATCAAGGAAGCAAGTATAATATCAAAATATCAAAAGTGCACAGGTTGATCGGATAAAAAAGGAACGTGTATACTAAGGAGGCCCACGGTGGGCGTTCCCGTGAGCTCCGAGAAGCCTGCGGGGGCTGTGGAAGCAGGTTCTTCGGCCAAGCAGAGGACTTTTCAGGCAGTAGCTTGCAGCATTCTCAATATTAAAGCTTTTTTTTTTTACTCCCATTAAAACCTCGGAGAATGCTATTTTGAAAAGAATTGCAGTGGCATAGCCAAAACGTTTCTAAGTGGACTTTTAGGTTGCCCTTCCTTCCTCTGCATGGCCATGGGAGGGGAGGGGAAGGGGCTGCGGTGTAACAGGGCCGGGTAGCCACGTCCTCCCCAGCAGCTACTCTACAGCTGAAAATGGGAGAAAACAAGAAAGAGTTAGAAATTGGTCACCTGTTGCTTCCTGTTCACTCGACAACTAAAACTCTGATCGTGCTGGGCATGTGCGAGCCCGTTAGTTGGCGAGGGAGACCTGCGTGTGTGTTAGGGGGACCGGTGGCTCCGAGTGCCCGCAAAGCCCATTACAAGTACAAGAGAAGCTGCGTGCTGGCCTGGCGAGGAGACAGCAAGGAAGAAGGTGGGTAGGCATGCGGGCAGCCATCCCCAGGATGGTCATGCAGGGGACACATGGCTTGTTCTGCACCCCAGCTGTTCTGCACTGTGTGGTGTCCAGAATCCAGAGGAGACCGAGCCACCTTCGGCACCAAAGAGAAGAGCGGGTGGTGGGCAGACGGCTGTTGAGGACAACATGGCCTCGAACCAGGCAACGCTAGTCCCCTTCCCTTAGGGAAGCAGCAATTGGGAGGAGACAGTAGCCTCAGGTCCAGCTGCCCCCGAAAGGGATCAGGAGAAAAATACTGAGAAGAGTTCTGCTTCAGAACGTGTGAACTCAGATGCCTGATGCCACAGCTCTGGCGTGGACAGAGCCTCCCCATATAAGAAAGCCCTTGGCTAGCTTTCCTCTGTCACCACCCCCAAATTGCACTAAATAGAGAACCACACACCTTCTACCTGCCAGCCAGGGAACCAGCCCCGGGACCATGCAAAGCTCTCCCAGAACAAGGCTGGGCTCTGCTACACCTGTATCCTGCAGTTCAGCCGAGCCCGCTGGCAGCTCAGACTTCAGGCTGCAGTTCTCAAAGCCCTGTTTCTTCAGGTCGGAAACTCCTTGGGAGGAAGGCCTGAAAATGGGCAGCCTGGGTTATCCAAATACAACAGGACAGGCGTCACACGGAGGACCAAGAACTGGCCAGGCACTTGGAACACTTTTCTTATTAAAAAAGGAAACCCTAGGCCTTGGGCCCTGTCAATCGGGACCTCACAGGGCCACCAGACCAGCATGTAAATCTCAGAAACCAGGGCTGCTGAGCTCTGCTCTCCTGTGCTACCCACAGTCGGCTGTGTCTGAGACGTGAGTCTTGTCTGCAGAATGCAGGAGCTCAGGGCCACTCTTCTCTTGGTCTGGGGATGAAATTCTGTACTTTTGTCCTGAATGTGATTTGCAGTGAGATCCTGCAAAAGACTACAACATAACTCTTTCCTTAAAACTATGCCAACCACAGAGCCATCCCGAGGCTGGATGCCAGAACCTTCTACAACTGCTTTCAGGTGCTGACATTAGACACATGCGAGGAACATGCAAGTTTCAATTCAGGTTCTGCCCCTCTGAGGGTCCCAAGGGAGCGGGACCGGGACTCTTTCCATTGCGTTTTCCCGATAGTGCCTGGGGCCCCGGAAGACACTTCTTGCACTTGTCTTCAGTAATGGAGCACAGCTCCACCCCCACCTCTGGGATCCCACCAAGACAACAGCTGACACCAGGAGCTCCTGAGGGGGCTGAGGAGGAAGAAGCGACAGAAAGCTCGCAGGAGCATCCTGGTGACAGATGTGCCCCATGCTGCTGCTCAGCTAGAATCCTGCCCTCTGTGCATTAGTCACGTTAAGACCGGCCTAGCACCGCTGTCCCGCTGCTGCTGGGTTAGTTGAGGTGAAGCAGACGTTAGCTGCAGCGTGCGGCGCCCCCACAGCCCTAATCACAGTAAATGCTGTGCTTCTCACTGCAGAACACCTGGTTGGAGAGCCCAGTGCCCTCAGCCCTGTCACTGGCACAGGCACAGGTGTGACTTACGCTCGGGGTGACTGGCTTGGCTTTGGGGGTGGCCTTGGAACGGCCCCGTCGGGTCTGCTCGTGGTCCAACTCGAGCAGCTCCAGCCGTTGGGTCAGCGCTAGCTTCTGCTGGATGGCCATGCGCAGCAGGGAGTTAAGTGTCTTCTTCTCATCCTCCGCGGCGGCCAGTTGCCGCTGCATCTCATCCAACTGTGTGATATACTCGTCACATCTATGGGGACCAAGAGCACAGCTAAAGGGCCAGGCAGGGGAGGGCTGTCCCTCACGGGGCCGCTGAGTTGGGGCGGGAGCTGAGGGACGAGACAAGTTCTGATTTCTTCTAGCAAGGGCAGGAGTCCCGACTAAGGTCAGAGGGGTGCTCGATCCCAGGCAGCATAGCCCTGTAAAGTTGGTTTAAATTTTGTCCTGCCTTTTTGGGGCAGGGGAAAGGGCTATTTTGCCATTTGTATAAAAGACATTCCTATAAGAAGGTTATGACCCTGAGCAATTTGGCTCTTCTGACTTTAAGGCTACAAGGTGGTTCAGGTACCCAAGACATCACTGGCTCTCAGGGTCTGAGAATAAAGCCAAGGCAGGACTGGGCTTGTTCCCACAGTAAGCACACTGCTGGTACTTAGCAAGTCCGTGCTGAACAACACCCAGGGCCAGGGAAAGGAACATGTGGATTCTGTACACAACACCATCCCGGTACCTGGGCCTCCACCTACTGTGACACGTTGGCCCCACCCAGGTGCAGGCTGGGGAGGAAAGAGAAACACCTACTCTATTCTGTTCCTGGCATCCCTCTCCCATGAGGGCCTGGGGGAAGTGCTGAGACATCAGGCAGGTTAAGCCTCAGGGCTACAGGATGGTGGGGGACATGCCATGCACTGAGCATAGCCCCTCCATGCCCGTCCCACATCCCTGCCCTCTGGGTGCCCACTTACTGTGAACCACCCTCTGCCAGCACCCTCTCAGTAACATACCTGCACTGCCTTACTCACAGGTTTAGAACTCTGGGTCCATCTGAAGTCAGGTCTCTATTTATATTTATGGTGGTACTGAGGATGGAACCCAGGGCCTTGTGCATGCAAGGCAAGCACATTACCAACTGAGCTACAGCCCCAGCCTTTGAAGTCAGGTCTTTAAATAAAACAAGTTTAAAAGACTAGGGTCCACATGCCATATGCCAAGGAGTCATTTGACCCTTCCCCAAGAACTTTCCTACATCCCAGGAAGAAAAGAAACTTCTAGAGAAACCCTGGAACTCTCCTCATCCCTGTCTACCCTGGCAGGGCCTCCCCATGGAAGTCTGAGAAACTGCGAGTGACTGGCCTGGGATACAAGAAGCAGTTTCTGGCCCAGCTCCCATCCTGTCAACCCTCAGCGTCTCCACTTTCTTATCCACCATAGGAAATGGCTGGGTTGACCAGGTACTGAAGGGTTGGAGGGTGGAAATATCCCCCACAATGCCATCCCAACACCTACCAGCAGGTGGTGCTGTCTGCCTTTGAATGGTAAAAGGCAGGCAACCTGTTTTCCATTCTTGGGATCTGATCTCCCCCAGCCTGGGAGGGGTGTAAAAACAGAGTGGCCTTCAGACTATCTCAGGACCCTCATAATAGGCAGGGTGGGGGATCTACAAACTTGAACTCTGTTATGAGCCTTACAACCTAATTCAGGACTTATCATCCACTGGACCTGAGTTAGCACTTGTAACTCTTGGATCCCGTTTATCCACAAAGCTCATTCCACTTGGTCCCTTTGCTCCTGAGCTTCCTTATACTCACAGCAAAACTAATTGAATATGCCAGGTTTTTACTAATAGCAAAATTAGAAAGAGCCTACAGAACTGGGCTGCTGGGGCCAGGCCAGGCAGCGACAAGAATGGGAAGGACTGCACACCCTCAATGAACGTCAGCACATGGCGCCTGCCAGGCATGTTCCCACCTGGGCACCTGCCCACGAGATGCTTGGGAAGCTGAGGCACAGACAGCTGGGGACCTTGATGCTGCAGGTCCTTGTATCTCCTCACTCCTCCTTCTCACCAACTTGAGCCATATGCCAGGGATGGACTGGGGCAGTCCTCCCCAAACCCTGAGTTGCACTGGCCCCTGAAGAAGCTGGACACGAGCCCTGCCAGGCCAGCAGGGCTGTGGGCCTCAGGCAGGGAGAGGCTGAAAAAAAGGAAGGGTTGTGGGTACTGCAGTTACCTGGTGGCGAACATGGCACGCAGCGAGGAGAAAGTAGCTGCGTCTTCCTTGAGGGCCTTGAGCTCGTTACGTAGCTTCATCATGGTCTCAGTCACCATGGCCTTCTCATTCTCATACTTGCTCTTCAGGTTGGCAAGGGCCACTTCAGCCGTCTAAGGGACAGACAGGTGCAGGGCGAGTAGGTGAAAGGTGTGAGGCCATCCTGGAGATGCTTTAGGTTCACAGGGGCACCCTGGGTCTCAGGTGTGCTGCACCCACAAAGAACATTACCTGGGAGACACCTCCCTCCATGGACCCCTGGGGACAGGCTCCAGCAGCCATGCCTCATTTCAGTTTTCCTCACTGAGTTCCACTCACTATCCTCACCAGTATAGGAAGACTGTGCACCCCGCAATCTGCCTTGGGGATCCCACAAAGTCCACGTGGCTCTCTCCAGGGCAATCAGGCTGGGTCCTCACATTTTACTTCCACCTCAGAGCTGGTGGAAGGCGCTCGGCGGCAGTTTTTTTACTAGCCAAGCTGCTCTGGTTGAAGGGACCCTCAAGTGTGCCCGCCCATTCCACCCTCTAGCTGGGAGCCATTGGCAGGCAGAAGGCAGGAGCCTACACTGACACAGAGTCAGTCCTATCTTGTGGGAAGCCCAAGAGGCCCTGCAGCAGGAGGAGGTTGGAGACCAGGGTAAGAAGCGTCCACCAGGCCAGTCCCATCTCACCTGCTTGTTAGCCTTGAGCACAGTGCGCAGCGTGGTGATCTGTTCCCTCTTGGTGCTGAGCAGCGACTTCAGCTTGAGGATCTCCTCCATGAGCGCCTCCTTGTCCTTGTCCACAGCAGGGCCCAGCTCCTGAGAGGCAATGCGCTGCCGGGACAGCTCTGTTGTGCGGTCCACGGCAGCCTGCAGGTGCTTGATCTGGTCGCGGATGATAGCAATCAGGTTGTAGATGTTCATGGGCTCCCGGCGGGGATCACTCAGGGGTGACGGCAGTGAAGAGCTGGGTGAGGGGCTGCTGTCCCCAGCTGCACTATCTGCTCGGCCCACCTCTGTGGCCAGCAGCCCCTTGGGCAGGAGGATGGGTGAGCGGCGCCCGCGGCCCTCGGGGCTGGTGCGGCCAGGGCTGGTGCGGCCGGCCCCGCCCTGGCCCTCGCGGTAGTAGTCCAGCATGACACGGTTGGGGGTCTCGTTGTTGCACATGCACACGTGGTGGTAGAGATTGGCCAGCTCCTCACTGAAGGTGACCAGCTCATCCTGGGCCACGCTCAGGCTGCCCTGCGTCTCGCCAGCCACATCGCTCACCTTCTTCAGCTCCTTCTCCAGCCGGGCCAGTAGCTCCCGATCCTGGCGGCTGGCCTTCTCCAGCAGGGAGACCTTCTCGGTGAGTGCCTGGCCCTCAGCCTCATAGCGGCCTTTCTCCTCTGCGTGTTGGACCTCAGCAGCTTCGTGTGTGTTACGCAATGCCTTGAGCTGCTCACGGAGCTCACCAGCCTCGGCCACGGCCACATGGTACTTGCAGGCCAGGATCTCGGGCCCATTGATGTCTACTTCATAGTAGTCACCATCCTCGTGGCTATCGCGGTCCTTCTCATTGTCCAGGGCTGTCTGCCGCTCCTTGCTGGCCTGCAGGCGCCGCAGGGCGCTCACATTCTCTGTGAGGCGGCTCACCTTCTCATGCTGCTCGGATAGGGCTCCCCGAGCTTGCTCCAGCTGCTTCTGCGTGTCCTGCAGTGTGGCCAGTAGGCCCACCTTCTCCCGCTCCATCTACAAAGGCACAACAGCAGGCGAGCCTGTGAGAGGACTTCCAGGGTGGCCCAGCAATACATCCTGGTCTGTGCCAGGATGGGCCTGGGGGTTCCCTGACCAGGCCTTCAGCAACATGCAGGGTGCAAAGTGGACAGAATTTGCAGTAGATCCTCAGAATGCTCCCATCCCCAGCAATGGTGGTCATCCCTGAGGGCTCCCTCCACCCCTGCTGAAGGAGAGTAAGCTCAGAATGCAGAGCAACAAGTTGGCAGAACAGGTTGACGGGGACTCTCGCTGCCCTAGCTCTCTGCTCTGAATGACAGGGGCTCTGCCAACTGTCCTGCCCCACTCTGTGGAAGGCACCTGATTATTTGCTGCATCAAGAGCAATCTCCCAGGAGATGAGCCCACACATGGCCCTGTTGTCACTGTGGCCTGTGGTCTTTTGGAGTGAGGGGACATGTAATACCAGACAGCATTATGCACTTCACCGGGACACTATGTGGGTACTGAGGAACAATATGAGCAAAAGGTGTCAAACCTCACCTAATAATCAGGAGCCTCCTTCTTTGGGACTCCACTTCGTTCTACTGGAGTTTCAGTCATGCTAGTGACACCATTTAAAATCAGTGGGAGTAAGTTAACATTAGTGAGGTGCCAGGAGAGCCCAGCTGCGGTGGTGCGTGCAGATCTGCCAGCCCTGGGTGGGGGCGGAGGGGGGGGCTGCCTGCTCACCTGCACCAGCTGCTGCTTCAGCTTCTGGATCTCAGAGATGTGGAGCTCGCTGAGCAGGTCAGAGACGAGGCTGGGGGAGGGGGGTGCCAGCCCATCCTTCCTGGGTGTGGACGTCTTATTGTCCAGTGATGGCTTAGCCAGGCCACCGTGCTCAAAGCCATTGACTAGGGCCTCTGCATCATTGTTGGGCTCGGCAGCAGTGTCGTCACTGAACTTGAGGCCATCCAGGGAGACCTGCAGGTGGCTGGTGTAGAAGGAGTCATTGATGCTCATGTAGTGCGACAGCTCCTTGCGCAGACTATTCTTCTGCTCCCGCTCCGTCTTCAGTGTCTCTAGAGCCTCCTCCAGCTGCCGTTCTGAAATCTCCTTGAGCCGGATGGCGTCTTCTAGCTGGCTGTTCAGGTACTCAGTCTCCTCCTCCAGGCGCTTGATCTCATGCTTGAGGCCCTCAAACTCCACCTGAGAAAGAGCATTAATACTCCCTGTCAAGGTGACTCGGAGGCCCTGCTTAGGTCTGACGGATCAGTAGAATGTACCACAAAATGTGAGGTGACCCTCATGGTGAAGCACCATCCTGCAGAGGAGGCAGAGGCCAATGCCATTTACTCCATCAAGGGATGTAGATGCCAAGAGCATTCCAGGGCATGGGACGCACATGCACAGAAACACCCAGCCCACTAGCAGGAACCATGAGGGTGGACAACACCAACACCAGACACGGGCAGCCTGCGCTGCTATGGCCCTGAGAACACGCATCTATGCTGCCAAATTTCTACAAGGTTTCTTAAAAATATCACCAAGTGTGTTAATTAAAATTCTACAAAATTGGAGCTAAGGTTGTGGCTCAGTGGTAGAGCGCTCGCCTAGCATGTGTGAGGCACTGGATTTGAACCTCAGCACCACATATAAGTAAAATAAAAATATTGTGTCCATCTACAATTTAAAAAAAAATCTACAAAATTACTTAGTTAACATTAATAGCCAACCAAGGATCTTAAGGCACATAAAATATATACTCCTATGTGTGCTATGGCTATTATTTCAAAATGAAGGAACTGAAATTCCCCTGAAGGAGAATGTCTCAGCACCAACCAAACCCTCAGAACTGCAGGCCTCAGGGAATTAGAGGGTGGGTGGAAAGCACAATCAGTCTCATTGATTTGAAAATGTATTTGCAGTGAACAGGAAAAGAGAAGACATAAAGTGATGCTTAATGTGAGGAGTCAGGACATTTGGACAATTTTTTTTTTCCCCACTTTTGGGCAATTTTAAAAAACATGCCTTAGTCTATAATATTTTTTCAAAAACAAACAAACAAAAAAAACAACAATAAAATGAAGAACTGAATGAATCCATGGGTTCTGGACAGGACAGGTGGCATCGTATCCTAGGGTGTGCTCACAAGAGGTGGAGACCTGAACCTCAGTGTCCAAAACTGGTAGGCGAGGAATGCTGGGGAAAGGGGTGACTTCATCAAAGACAGGGTCTCTCCCACTCGCAACTTCCTCCTCAGATGCTATGGGCTGCTTCTACAGACAGTAATGACCAAGGACCAAACGATACCTACTCGTGGACAACTGCTATTACCACATGCAGGCATGAGCTGTCACTGCAGAACAGAGGCTGTGAGCTGTCCTTGTAGTTCCTGGGGAGCATAATCTGCTCCCCACTTGCCTTTGTAAACACAGACTGTGGCATAAACACACAAGCTGCTCACCCAGGATATAAATATTGGGCTACTGATGGTAACACCTTCTGCTGAGAGGAGCTGGATGGGAGAGGGGTTCTGAGGAAAGCAGTCCTGAACAAAGTTTAGAATTTCTTGAGAAAAAGTTCTCTGCAGGGCTGTGGCTCTCGGAGAGGGGGAGGCACATTCAGGGCTTGAGTGGTCCCCAGAGCCCGGGCACCTGTGTCATCACAGAGAGGGCCCTCTTCATCCCTGCCGCAGGTGGAGGCATGGCAATATTTCAGGCATCATGTCAGCACCCGCGAGGGGACAGAGCCTAGAGGGTTCTGGTGCCACCACTCTATCCTCTGCAGCACTGCAGCCACAGGCTTTGTTTTGTGGCCCTGGAGAGTCGAGGCCCTCTTGGCTGCATCCCCTGCCTCCACTGTAGTGTGCTGGTTCTGGGCCTCAGGTACGTGGAGAGAGACAGGAGACAGAGGACAGGGGTGGGCGAGAGGGCTGAGACCCAGAGCTGATCTGTGTGCCCACCCACACCCTCAGACTCGCCTGGTTCTGTCTGAGCACAGACACTTGCTTCTGTAGGCTGATGTTCTCTTCCTCCAGTTCGGAGTAGTCCTGCAGCAGGCGGGCCTCCCGGAACTTGTATTCCTTGATGTCATCCCGCAGGCGGCTGCGCTGGATCTCCACATTCTGGTTGATCTGCCAGGGCAGTAAAAATGTGGGCATGAGTGACCTCTGTGGCCAGCCCCACCATGTTTGCCTGTAAGTGGCATAAGAGGAGCTCAGTGTAGGCAGACACACAGGCATACCACAGCACCAGGACTTAGGATCCAGTCCCTTGGGCACCAGTGTGGCCACCTGACAGGGAGAAGCAGCCCAAGGCAGTATGGTGTGTAGGGAAGAGCACATGGTCCTGAGTCAGAGTCTCTCAGCCCTTCAAAGCCGAGGAACCCCTGGCAAGTGACTCAGCCTGCTCTGAGCCTCAGCGCTCCATCTGTAAGATGGGGTCACCCCGTTGGTGGGCTAGTAAATGGTGATGCTATGGCACACGTCTGCTCAAATAGTTAACCTAGAGAAATGAACACACATCCACACAGAATCCTGTACACAAATGTTCCCAGTCAAAAGGTGGAAGCAATCCAAACATCCATCAACGGGTGAATGAGTAAACAAAATGTGGTCTATCCATATAATGGAATGGTATTCAGCCAAAATAAGGAATGACGTCTTGACGCTTGCTACAACACGAATGAACCCTGAAGACATTCTACTGAGTGAAAGAAGCCAGTCACAAGAGGCCACACGTTGTATGAATCCATTATATGAAATGTCCAGAACAGGCAAATCCATAGACAGAAAGTGGATTAGTGGGTGCCAGGGGGGATGGGACTGATTGTGAATGGGGTTTCTTTTTGAAGCGATAAAATCTTCTGAAGTTGACTTTAAGGGCTGGGGGTGTAGCTCTGTGGTGTAGGGCTTCCCTAGCATGTACAAGGCCCTAGGCTCAATCCCAGCACTACACAAAAAAAAAATAAATAAAGGACTACCGAAAGGCACACATGTGTAAATATTTGCTAAAACTCCTGATCGCACACTGTAAGCAGATAAGTTGCATAGGGTGTGCATAATCTCAACAAAGCCTGTTCTGGGCTCCAAGTCACCTGTGAGGAGTCAGAAAGGGAGAGGCCTGGGCAGGGCTAGGGTAAACAGGAGGCAACCCAGACTGCGGGAATTCTCAACCTGCTAATGCCCACATCACGCACCTGGAACCACATGCCTCCACCTCAGCCCTGGAGATGCTCGGGGCCAGGTGTTGGCGATGGGGGCTGCCCTGGACGCTGCAGGGTCCGCTCAACAGCTCCCTGAGCTCTGTCCACCAGAGGCAGCCCCTCCTGCACTGTAGTATCTGAAGGTGACTCCAGACACTGCCAATGTTCCCTGGGTGCAAATTCAACAACCCAGATAAGCCTCCATCCCCTCCCTGCACTCTACTCCCTTCCTGTCCCCTGCTCCTAGTGCCCGGGTGGCATCCCCAGGCTAACAATGCCCCTGCTCCAGAGCCCTTAACCAGAAGCCCTGTTCCCACCCTGGACCCAAAGCTCTGTCCTCACTGATGCTTCCCACTCACAGTTTATGTGGGATTTGCTTCTAGTCACTTTATCATGCGTTCATCTGAAGGGCTCGAGCACACCTTAGTGATGAGACTCCAAGATGCCATGCAGGCACACACAAAACAGCAGCGCTGGGTCAGTAAAATGAAACAGGACCACACAAGAGGAAGAGAAAGAAACAAGGAAGGCCACAGAAGGGGGAGTCAGGATATAAGCTCCACTGAGAAATAAATGCTTACCACTCAGAACAAAGATCATATTTAAAATTTATGACAAAGCGACACACAGCCCTCTCATGAGGTAACCCAAGGAGGCGCCAGAGCCAACACCAAGAGAAAGGGACAACACGCAGAGAGGAAGAGAAGGCCAAGTCTCACAAAACCTCAGGCAGGAGGAGAGGGCGGGTGAGGCATGTGCTGGGATGGAGGGAGAGAAAACAGCCCCAGCACAGCCACAGGAAGGACCACAGGCCCCTCTCGACAGCCTGGAGGTGCCATGCAACCAAAGCATCAGGCTCTTCATGTTCCATGGGGGCTCAGGCCCCTCTGCCAGAAGTGTTCCCCAACCCCTGCCCTTTCTCTGCTAATGCTCATGGCAAGCAGCAGTGCTCAGACAGGTGGACATGGCTGGATGCTCAGGTGGAATGGGGGCCGAGGGAAAGGTCCTGAGTCCCATCAACTCCCCAGGTCTGTGCATCAAAACTGGTAGACCTAGGAGATCCTCCAGGTGGTGAGAGAGAAGGGCTGGAGGTGTTTTCAGGGGAGGGGCAGAAAGGTGGCGAGCTGCCAAACTGAAGACAGCAGCAGATGGCCAGGATGGAAGCCTGGTAACACTAGGGACCCCAGGCACGGGGAGTACTGCACTGCTGTGGCCCTGTCTGTGCCATCTGTGCAAGTCCTCAGCACCGTCCACCAGCCTGGCCATGGCAGAACACTCTAGAAGCTCTGCCTCTGCACCATCACTAGGCAGGGAATCCCGGGTGTCAGCCATGACAGAGCCTTCTGCTGGTCAAGAGTCTTTGGGCCCATGCAGGCCTATGGGTAGGTGGCCCTGTGGTAAGACACAAGAACAGAGAGGCATACACAAGTCACGCACTGGCCTGGCAATACCACATGGCAGTGAGGGCACCCAAACACCTGCAATTTCATTCCAGGGCAGCCATGCTTCCTTCCATCCCTGACACACCCGCGTAGGCACCAGGATTCAGCTGGTCTGCCGCCTGGCACCACCACCCAGCACACACCCAACTGCAGAGAGCTCAAGCAGGCTCTGACTGGCCACTGGAGGGTTAGCTTTCCCCAGGTAACCACCTTGTGACAGGTGAGCTGGTGTGACATCAGCACAACAGAGATGCTACAGAGGACAGGCTCTGCTCTGTGAAGAACTACACTGGTTGGGTAGGGCAGGGGCACGGACTTAGACCCAGCCAGCTGGGTTCCATCCCAGCTTTCCCTTCCTTGGGACCACCCAGCAAGAGCCAGTATGCAGGGGTGTTGGCTATCCTCCTTACTGAACCCCCAGAGTCCCCAACCCCACCCACCCAGGACACTATGTCTGCCCTGATGGCACAAGGCAGCCCGGCAGCTCACTAGGCCTTAGTGTATGCACGGGGCCTGCTCTCCCTGCCTGCATGAAGTTCTCTGGCCTCTGCTTCTCCATCTGGGAAATGAGGCCATGTCCCTCTCAATCCTGTCCAGAATATTCCTAAGATGCTCATCCACCTACCAGGGGCCCCAAACCCCCCAGAAAGCTGACAAGATGTCCACCTCAGGTCCCCCACACAGCACAGACATCAGGAGACAGAACCCCAGAGCCACTTCACACGCCTGTTTCCTCATGTGTGACAGGACACTGGTAGGGTCACCAGGATGACCAGGTCTGAAGGATCAGACACAGGTTTAACCGTGTTTGGTATCATGAAGTTTCACATGTTCTCAGGGGGTGCTGGGTGTGGAGGAGGACAGACACCTAACCAGTAGTCACTGGGCCGGGCGGGGTCAGAGGAGCTGTCAGGGGCAAGGTAGCGGGTCAAAAAGGGCAAACTGAGGGCCAGCAAGACCAGTGGGTGGAAGACACAAGTGTGCCCTCTCCAACCCATGAAGGCACAAGCCTCGGGCAGTGAGAGAGGACAGCCGTGCCATGGCCACAAAGGAGCTTAGCAGTGGCTCAGACCAGGACACAAAAGCAGCAGGGAAACAGGAGCTGAGGAGTGGCTAGGAATGGGGGGAGTCCAGACACGGGGGGCGGGGCGGGGGGATTCCCAGCCAGGTACACGGGAGGCCAAGCCCAAGAGGACAGAGTGCCACAGGCACAAGGACCAAGGACAGAGGTGGGGACCCAAAGAAATGAGAGCAGGGGTACACAGGGAGACTCAGGATTTCCTCCTGAGCCTTGAATAGGAACAGCAGGACTCTCCCGCCCCTCCAGTCTTTGACTCACTGAACTCATTTCCGGCACAGCAGGGGTCACCCAGCCCTCTCTGCTGCCAAGGAAGGCGGTGTGGTGTGCTGGACTGTAGAGAGCCCTTGCCCATCCCTGCACTGGCTTTGCAGGACAAGAGGAGCCAGAATAAAAGGGATGGCAGCAGGGGCAGATGTGGCTAGTCTCCCCCTCGGGATGGCCTCGTCTCCCACCCTTACAGAGCAGCACTTACCAGGGAAATGATGTCACCACTGTGGCTAGAATCTGAGGGCTGTCCCCCAGGTCCAGCTCCTCCCCAGGCCCCCAGAGCTCACTGGCCCCAGGGCCAGTGTCCCCAAATTCCTGGATGCTGGGCTGCAAGCTGCCTATGGGGCCCTGGCTGCTGCACACCCTGGTACCCCATGATCTGCTGACCTCTTGGTCTTACAGCTACAGCAGGCCCAGGGTGGGGCTCTCACAGCTAAAATAGGCCCAAAAGTCCTTGAAAGATATGGGGTCAAAGAAGACAGGTGTCCCTGAGGGGCTTTAGAAACTACATGGGTACACAGGTGGGAAACTGAGGCTGACCCTGAAGACAAGGCTCTGTCCAGGTCTTGAGGCCCAGTGAAGAGCACAGCTAGTATCCACCCATCTCCATGGGAACCTGGAGGCTAAAAGCTCAGGCCACAATCAGGACTGCAGCTCATGTGGGAATTTCTGTGACTGCTGCTGTTCCTGGTGACAGAGTCCCTGGCCTAACCCGGGACGCCCAGGTCTGTCCACACCCTCACCTTGATCATAGGGACTCACCACTGCCAGGCGTCTCCCAGGCTCTCAGACCCATCTTTATCCCTATGGCCACCAGACCACAAATAGGACCATGGCTCCTCCAGGGTCCTGACTAAGGCCTGCAGCTCTCTCCTGTGACACCGTCCTCCTCTGGTGCAGGCCTACCTTCCAGGAATGGTCTCGCCCTGAAGAAATAAAACCTTCCCCAGGTAAGGGAGTGCCCAGTGAGGGGAGCACACTGTGGACACCAGACTTGGGCCCCACAAAGGGCTGATCACTTCTCTGGTCTGGGCCTCCTCAGGGCACCTGCCTCACCAGCAAGTTGGGCACAAGCCAGATGATGAAGTGCTCAGGCCTTCACCTCTGAGCGGTGGGGAACACGACCAGGGGAGAGGGGGAACCTGGAAGAAGTCACAAAAGCCAGCACAGCACCAAGGCACACCTGCCATGCAGTGCCACTATCACGGGTGACAGACAGTACCCCCCAACCAGCAAACCTCCTTCAGCTCCTGGGCCACTGACGTGAGGCGCTCGTTCTCTGACTGCGTGTTGGTGAGGACGTTGCGCAGCTGCTTCAGCTCCGTCTGCAGCTCCAGCACCTTCCGCACATAGTACTGCTCCTTGGAGGCCGACTCCTGGAGCAGGCTCTCTTCGCGGCTCTCGCCATCTGCAGCCACCTTCTTGTGGTTTGTGTGCGCCTGTCCGAATGCCTGTATCAGCAGACAAGACACTCATGACACTGCTGTCCCAGGACCACAGAACCAAGGAGACGATCTCACTGCAGGAGAGCAGGCTAGGGGTGAGGGCCTCAGTGTGGGCGGTGCTGTGTGCTGGTGTGCGAGCCTGCCTCACCATAATGAACCCCAACAGGTCTGAGGAGCAGTGTGGACAGTAACAGGGTTCTGGATTCAGGACATCATGTAGACACGTGTGGCAGGTCTCCCTCTAAGTGGGACCAAGTGCCAGGCCTCATCCTTCGGGCTGACACGGAACCTCCTGAGATCCATCAGGAGTCAGACACCATAAGCCTGGCTGATCCACTGGGGAACAACCCCAAGGCTATCCACACAACCTTGACTTCCTCCCCACTCCAAATGGGGAAACCAAGGCTCAGGGAAGTGCACTGCCCTCCCCCCCACAAGAGATAAGGAATCTTCCCACCCAGCCACTTAATGCTGACCCATCCCCCTTCACTTGTTCTGAAAGAAACCTGAGCAGTCAGAGCCCCAGAAACCAAGGATGGCAATGGGGTAAAAAACAGCCAGAGAGCCCAGCACAGTGTGTGCAGACCCAGAGGTGAAGACACCATTGCGTCCCAGACAGAGAAGCCCTGGGGCTCAGAGAGAAACCCCTAAGTAAGAGCAATCAACAATGGGCTGGCCTAACCCGGGACACCCAAGTCTGTCCACACTCTGAGGTCAGCAGCTGTGCCATGCCCACACCCGTCCTAAGGACCCTGGCCAGCCTAGTCTCCTGTTCTGTGCCCCTGTGAGGGGCCAGGCGCTCAGCAGGTGTCCTCCCTGCTCCCTCCTCTGTTTACAAGACACCAGGCCCACAGCACGAAACAAAATCAAGAGAAGGGCTACTAAAGAGCAAGAAAATGGATGATTTTTTTTTTTTTTTTGGTCTTAAAAAAGAACACTTTCTTCCTTTACTACTTATCGTTAAGTCTAGGAATTCAGCCCAAGAAAGCAACTGGGAGAATGTACAAAACTGTGTTACACAAGGATGATACCAAACAGGTGACTTCTAACGTCCATTAATCGAAACAGAGGGCAACCCACTTCCCTCCCGACAGGGACTAGCGAAAAGGTCTGGTCTGAGCATCAGGTTCCATGGGGCCCAGAGTGGAGCCAAGAGGAGAGGGAAGACAGGCCCACCTCAGGTCATCACAAGGACAGAAGACCCTGCCTGCAAGCACACCCGGGAGCAGCCACGTGCTGTATGTCCCATGTTGCGAGGAGCACTGGAATGGACCAAGAGACACTACAGCCCAGTAGGACAACCAGGGATGGCTCTGGGACTGCATGGGGAGGCCTGGGGCTCACACTGTGACACTCTTACAGCAGATCTATGGATGTTCATGTCATCTATTCTCAAGGGGACAGGGGCATGATCACCTGCCCTCAGCCCAGCAATGCTCTGTGCTTCAACGCAAAGCAGCTCGTCTTTGTGATTCCTGTTCCGCACTCTCATGCCGGTCCCGGGAAGGGCCCAAGTAACAAAATGCTACTTTTGCACAGCACCTGACCCAAGCTGGCTGCCCAGTGCAGGACACGGGAAGGGAAGCTAGACATGGAACTGGCCCCAACCCAGGGCTTCTGGCCTGAGTGACAGTTCCCACCCCAAGTCCCTCATTAGATAAGGGGTGGCTGTAGGCCACAGGCCAGCACAGGGCAGTGCCAGGCCAGCAGGGTCTGACTTGCACGGACTGGACGCCAGCACCTGCACAACTCGGGACACACCCACAAACTTGAAACTGGAGCTGCAGACATCTCAGAGGCTTTCTTGGGGTGCAATGGATACACGCTGTGACACACCAGTCAAGTCCAGGCCTGCCGACCTGGACCTTGAATCTCCTCTTCCATCCAAGCTCCCAGCCTGGAGCCTTCGGGTGCCCCAGATGGCTTTGCATACATAAGTAACAGAGCCTCTAGTTCAGAGAAGATGGCCACAGGGAACAAATCTACTTCCTATGTGAAAAATTTTTTTAAAAAACTGAACAGTGATGGAAATAATATGAATGAATAATAAGTAGTGGTTTTATCAGGTCATTGGCACCAGGTAATGAGTGACAAGATGAGAGAAGCTACACAATGGTCCTCACCCCACAGGAGAAACTTCCGGGTCATGGTACAGAAAAGTCGCCTGGGGTGGGGGGAGGAGTGGTGGCCTGTGGAGGGGGAGGGGGAGCTGGAAGACAGGAGGCAGGGCAGAGGAGGCAGACCTGTGCAGAGAGGAGTCTTCAACAAGGATGGTGGGATGGTCAGCACAGGCTGAGGAAGCCAGGCGAAAGGACACACAGGGGCCAGAGGGAACAATCCCCACCACTCACAAAGTCTAAAAACAAGAGCCAGTTCCCACCAGAACTGGCCAGAGGGAGCCCTCCAAGGACTGGCAAAAATCAGTCAGAATTAAACGCTGCTCTGGCATGGCACAGCAAAGGATAAAGACAAACCCTGGGCCAGCAACTCAGGAGGCTGAGGCGGGAGGATTGCCAAGTTCAAGGCCAGCCTGGCAACTTATCAAGACCCTGTCTTGAAATAGAAAATAAAAAGGGCTAGGGCTATAGCTCAGTGGTACAGAGACCCTGGGTTCAAGTCCCAGTAATGTCAATAATAATAATAACAATAATTAAATTAAATAATAAATAAAGACAAACCCTGAAAGAATCAACGTTTCCTAGCCATTACATCATAGAACAAAGCTGAAGAACCAGGTGAGATCCACAGCAAACCAAGCTAAGGAAGAAACATCAATGAATAGCGCTGAGTGCTAATGTGGCCATGGAAGGAGTAGCTGGGCCGAGAAGTAGGGTACCAGAACCGAGTCCCCCAAGTCAAGAGCTGGGGAAGGTACATCATACTAAGCAGGGACAGAAGATTCAACAGAATCAAACAGACCTTCTGAGGAGAAAAATAGGTATTAACAGCGGACCCACTGTGCAGAAGAAGATTAACTCTGAACCCTACCCAAAACTACTCTAGGAAACTACCCAAAATTAAACCAAACAAAACTGAGTACCAGTCAAGGGTGGGACAACTTCAAGGGGCCTACGGCATGGGTAACTGGAGAAACACAGGAGAAGAAAAGGGGACAAGAGAGAAAATATTTGAAGACAAAAATGACTCCCCCCCAAAAAAATAGCTTATAAATTTTCCAAAATTTGATGAAAATTATAAACCCATAAATATCAGCAGCTTGTTAACCCCAAGCACAACATGAAGACAATTATACTGAGGTTTGACATAAAATTGTCCAAAGCCAGTGACAACAAAAATACTAAAATCAGGCAGAGAATACATGCCTTACAAAGGAAAAAAGAAAGGATGATGGCAGATTTCTATGACAAGCCAGAGACAACGGAGCAACATCCTGAAAAGCACAGCAACTGCTAACCAGACCATCACCCCCAGAAGACATTGCTCACTAACAAGGTGAGATGAAGATTTCAGACACACAAAAGCCAAAAGAATTTACCAACAACAGACCTGCTTTACAAGGCATGGAAGTAAAATCCCTCACGTGGAAGAAAAATGGTACCAGACAGAAATCTAAACCTACAAGGAAGAATGAAACACACCAGAAATGGCTAACTATGTTGGTCAAAGTAAAAGACTAGTTCTCATTATTTAAGTCTCTTTAAGAGAAAATTAAATTGAGATTCAATGCAATGCCTATCAAAACTCCAAAGCCATTTTTTTAAGAAGCGGAAAAGCTAAATTTAAAATTCACATGGAATTAGAAAGGTCCTGGAATAGCTAAAAGAATGCTGAAAAAGTAACAAAGAGGGAGGGCTCATAATTTCTAATATTAAAACATAAAATGAAGCTATAGTGTTTAAAACAGTGTAGTAATGGAATCGCAATAGACAGAGACCACTGGAACAGACAGCATCCAAAAATAAACCCTAAACATATGCTCAGTTGATTTTTGACAAGAGTACAAAAATAATTCAATGATAGAAAAATAGTTTTTTAACAAATGATGCTGGGACATGTGAAATATCTACATTAATAAAAGATTTCTATAAAATCCCCAAATATTTAGCAACTAAATAACACACTTCTAAGTAACCCATGTGTCAAATGATAGTATTGGGGCAGGGGACTGGGAATTGAACTCAAGGGCACTGGACCATGGAGCCACATCCCCAGCTCTGTTTTGTATTTTATTTAGAGGCATGGTCTCACTGAGTTGCTTAGCGCCTCAGTTTTGCTGAGGCTGCCTTTTAACTTACAATCCTCCTGCCTCAACCTCCCAAGCCATGTGCCGCAGCACTGGCCCAAATGAAAGTATTTTTAACTAAATACAAATGAAATGTAAATAAGAATTTAGGCATGTCAATAAGCAAGTACTTAGGATATTTATAAGACTAAATGCCTACTATAGGAAAAAAGACAGGCTGGGGTCGTGGCTCAGGTAGAGCACTCACCTTGCACATGCGAGTCCCTGGGTTCGATCCTCAACACCACATTAAAAAAAATCAATAAATAAAATAAAGGTACAAAAAATTAAAAAGAAAAAAAAGACAAGTCCAATGACTTCAGTTTCCATCTTTAAAAAACTAGCCCAGGAACCACAGGCGCAGGCTGGCATCTGATGAGTTCTGTGAGGAAAGGCCAGCTGGCCCAGTCAGAACTGTCCTCTGCAGCTGGTGCTTGTGCATTCACTTCTTCCCTCAGTTGCTCAAAAAACATATGGCAGCATCAGTGGAATACTAGGACACAACTTTGCCTAAACTCCAGGACCTCTCCTAATCTAGTGTGGGACTACAACTTGTAGGGCCACTTAGGAAATCAGTATCTACTAAAGCTAAACACGCACCTGTTCTCTGATCCAGCATTACCACTCCTAGGCATGTACTAGAGAGGAACCCTGAAAAAAACACATTTATAGGAACATTATTTACAAAAGGCCGTACCAGGGGCTGGGGTTGTGGCTCAGCGGTAGAGTGCTTACCTCACACGCGTGAGGCACTGGGTTAAAA